GCACCCTGCCATGGCGCGCCGCCTAACCCCCGAGGACGAGGGCACCGCCGTCCAGAAGGCCCACTTCGACAGCGTGCCCAAGTGCATGTATCCTGGCGGGCCCGCGCCACTCACCGTGCCCCTGCCAGCGCACCATGGGAGAACCTCGGGGTCGTCGGAGGAGGCCGGAGAGAGGACCAGGACCGGGAGGAGGGGGGGGAGGGAGGAGGGCGTGGAGGGGGCGGAGGAGGTGCACTGCCCACAAAAGGGTGGAAGGGGGGGTCAGGGAGAGAGATGGCCTGATGCCACAGCTGGCCCGTCCTCGGCAAATCCAAGGCGATGCTATCCAGCGTGGGCCCACAGAGTGTGTGTTCTAGCAATCGAGGTTGTACAATGTATGTGGTGCAATCTATGTTGTGCTATCTATATGGTGCAATCTATGTGGCGCAAACGATGTTGCGCACTGTACGCGGTGCAATATACGTGGTGTAATCCAGGTGGCGCAGTTTACGTGGTGCAATGTATGTAGCGGATTCTAGGTTGTGCAGCAGATGACGTAGTGCAATTTTGTATACGTGATGCAGTGCATCGTGTGCACTGTATGTATGTACGCATGCATGCAAGCATGCATGCATGTATGTATGCATGTATATATGCATATGTAGATGCACGTGTATAGGTGCATGCAACTGTATATGCATATGGATAGGTAGATGCACATGCCTACCAGTATGTATACGCATATGTATACGTGTTTGTATATGTATATGTGTATGCATATGTGTGTATATATGTGTTTAGGTATGTCTGTTTACAAATATACATATGTGTATGTATGGGGCCATGCTTATGTATATGTATATGCACATGTATGTGTGTATGTGTATGTATGTGTACATGCAAATGTAATTGTACATGTGAAAGGTACATGTACATGTAAATGTATGAGTGTAAGTATATATGTATACGTACATGTGTTTAGTATATGTAGATGTATATATATATGTACATGTATATGTAGATGCAAATGCTCACGTATACACGTTTGTATATGCATATGTATATGCATGTGTGAAAGAGCCCGTTCTGTAGTAGTCGCTTGGAGGGGGGGGTTGGAACCGAACCCCCCCCCTCCCTGAATGGAGGGGGGCTGGGGAGCTCGAATTTCCCCCCCAACCCCTCCCGTGACAGAAGAGAGGGGGGGGGTTCGAACGCCCCCCCTTCCTCCTCGTCTTCTCATATGTCCCTCTCCTCGGGCCAGCGCCTGCGTCGGCGGCGGCTAGCGGCGGCGGCGGCGGGGACGACGATTTCCTTTTCTGGGCCGGCGCCGGCGCCGGCGCCTGCGGCGGCGGGCGGCGGCGGCGGGGAGCGTCGACGAGGACAACGGTGGTGGTGGTGGTGGGTTGTGGTGGTGGTGGTGGCGGTGGTGGTAGTTGTGGTGGTGGTGGTGTGGTGGTTTGTTGTGGTGGTGGTGGTTGTGGTGGTGGGTGGTGGTGGGGTCGGTGGTGGTTGGTGGTGGTGGTGGTGGTTGGTGGTGGTTGTGTTGTGGTGGTGGTGGTGGTGGTGGTGCAGTGGGTGTGGTTGGTGGTGGTGGTGTGGTGGTAGTTTGTGGTGGTGGTGGTGGTTGGTGGTGGTGCGGTTTTGGTGTGTGGTGGTTGGTCGGTGGTGTGGTGGTGGTTGTGGTGGTTGTGTGCTGGGTTGTGGTGGCGGCGGTGGTTTGTGGAGGTGGTGCTGGTGGTGGTGGAAGTGGCGGTGGTGGTGGGGTGTGTTGGTTTGTGGTGGTGTGGTGGTGGTGGTCGGTGGTCGGTTGTGGTGGTGGTGGTGGCGTTGTGCTGGATGGAGTGGGGGTGGTTGTGGCCCCCCCTCCCGGTGGTGGTGGTGGCGTTGTGGATTGTGGCGGTGGTGGTGGTAGTGGTGGTGGGGGGTTAGGTGGGTTGGGTGGTGAGTGATGTTGAGTGTGGTGGTCGGTGGTGGTTGTGTTGGTGGTGGTGGTGGTGGTGGCTGTGCGTTCTGTGTGGTTGTGGTGGTGTGGTGGTTCTTTTGTGGTGGCTGGTGCGTGGTGGGTTGAGGCGGTGGTGGTGGTGCGGTAGGGCGGTGGTTGGTGGTGGTTAGTGGTGGGTATCGGAGCTGCGTCCCCGCCGTCGCCGGCGCCAGTGCCGGCGCTGCTGGCCGCCGCCAGCGACGGCGCCGGCGCCGGCGCCAGGGGGGGGGGGCCTATGAATCCCCCCCCCTTCGGCGCCATGGGGGGGGCGTTGAACACCCCCCCCCTTTGGGCTGCCTCTGGTCGTCGTCGCTGCGTCTCCGCCGTCGGCGCCTGCGCCGAGGGGGGGGGGGGCGGTTTGAACCCTCCCCCTTGGGAGGGGGGGGTTCGGGAGAGGGGGGGGTTGGGGGGGAGGGGAGCCCCCCTGGTTTTCATCGACGGCGCCGAGTGTTGAGGGGGGGGCCCACCGCCCGGTTCGAAACGCGCCGCCGAATGTTCCCAAGGCAAGCGCCCGTGAAACGTTCTCTCGTATGTGCACATGTATATGTTTGCGTATATGCTTATGTATATGCATACGTGTAGTTATGTATGTGTATGTGTACGTGTGTGTATATCTACATCTATATTTATGCACGCCATGCATATGTAATGTATATGTGTATGTGTATTCTATGCATATGCATATAAGACGGGGGCGAGGCCCCCTGGCTGTGCCCAGGGACCTCCGCGGCGCATGGGGGTTCGGGCCCTCCGAAGGCCCTCACGAGGCCTCCAAGACGGCCCAGGCCGTCCTCAAGACGCCTCCAAGAAGCCCCCACAGGCTCGCGGACCAATGAAGATCCATTCCAGAAGGCCCACGAGGCCCCGAAAACGTCCCACGAGGGCTCCAAGATAGTCTCCAAAAGGGCACTGGGAGTCTGAAGTCTCCCATCCCCTCAGACAAGAAAAGAAAGATGTTGTTCTGCAACTGCAGGTGGCGGGCTGCCCCAGCGTACACCACGACCCCAGACGCCGCTAAGACCGCTCCAAAACAGCTCAAGCAGCCCCCAAGAGAGCCCGAAAACGGCCCACGAGGGCCCCAAGAGGGCCCAAGACGGCCCAGGAAGGCCCTTGCAAGCCCTCAGGGGAGCCCAGAGGAGGCCACCAGACACCCCAGACGCCGCCAAAATCGTTCCCAAATCGCCCAAGGAGCCCCCTAGAGAGCCCGAAGACGGCCCAAGAGGGCCCCGAGACGGCCCAGGAAGGCCCCCTGCAGGGGAGCCCGAGGGAGGCCCTCAGACCCCCCCAAGAGGGCCCACGAACGCCCACTGTCCATTCGTACCGGAGGAGGGGGAGGGGAGAGGAGGGAGGACGGAGGGCGGAGGAGGGTAGCACACGAGGGAGGCACCTGAGGGTGACCGCCGACGAGGGAGGGCCTCGGGGAGGCTCAAGCCGCGCTCGTCGTATTCAGAGGTGCTCGTCTGACTCGTATTGCCCGTCGTACGCCCACCGCACAATGTTTGGCACACCCCTCGCACGTTTCGTGGCCCTATAGTGAGCTCCTCCGAATGCGTTGAATACAACGACTGTGCTCACAACTGCATATGGTTGTGCCCTTCGCCAGGCTAATTCTGAGCGTGAGTGCCAATGGAATGTTGGCGCAGTACCAGGACTACGTCCGCTTTACTCGATGTTGATCATTATGGCGACGACGACGACGATGATGACAGCGACGTTCCCCTCGTCACTCTTCCCACTTGTCCTCCCGCTCCTTCTCCCTCATCCCTTCCCCGTTCTCCCCCCTTTGTCGGCTTCCCCTCCTCCCTCTGCCTCCTCCTCCTCCTCCTCCTCCTCCTCCTCCTCCTCCTCCTCCTCTTCCTCCTCCTCCCCCTCCTCCTCCCCCTCCTCCTCCTCCTCCTCCTCCTCCTCCTCCTCCTCCTCCTTCCCCTCCATCCTCCCCGCTCCTGCCCACCTCTTCCCTTCCCCCCGGGTGGCCTCTCGGCGGGGGCCCCGCGGATACGCTGCTGATCTACGCGTTCTTCATGGACGCACTCGGCTACCTGTTCGAAGCGCTGATCAGCGGGAGGGGACGGCGGGGGAGACGGAGGTCAGGAGGAGAATGAGAGCTCACGGACGCCTGGGCCTTTTTTTGGTGGGGCGCTATGCTATGTGGGCTTCCCGATGAGCCTTCGAAAGCTCCCTTGGGCCATACGGAGACCCTCCATGAGCGATTCCAAGACGAGGCTGGTTCAGAGTATGGGCGTGCCCTCCTGGACCGCTCTTGTTTGGCTTTCCAGGGAGCCTTTGGGGGTTGTTTTCGGCCATACGGAAGCCCTCCATGAGCGATTCCAAGACGATACTGGTTCAGAGTATGGACGTGCCCTCTTGGGACGCTATGCTTTGGCTTTCTGGGGAGCCTTGGGGAGTTTTTCTGGGCCATACGGAAGCCCTCCGTGAGCGATACCAAGAGGATGTTGCTTTCGAGCGCCCCATCCGAAGCCAATGTTTGGAGGATGTCTAGAGCAAATCTGCCATGTTTGACTAACGTTTCTCGGCATAAACAGGAAACGTGTGATATTGAAGAGCCTCGATGCGGCCCACTGCTCCACGCCCGTCGTTGCTCCGCCAACGCGCATCCCCAGCGGGGGGGCCTGTTCTGAGCAGTATCTCTAGCCACGAAGAGGGCGATCAATTGCAATCCCAACTCCACACACACACACAGGACCAACCACTGGTCATCGCGGTCCGGGGCCCCAAGCAGACACTATGCCCAGGGACGGAGAAGGTCATCCCCGTGCTGCATCGAAACTCTGCGGCCGCCAAGGCCCAGGCTGCAGCCGTGGACGGGGCGATCTAACAGTTCGGCAACATTGAGGACGAGTGTCGTCACAGAACGGTGGATGTCCTCCTCCTCCTCCTCCTCCTCTTCCTCCTCCTCCTCCTCTTCCTTCTCCTCCTCCTCCTCCTCCTCTCAACGTCACATGGAGGCGAATCACCATCCACGAGACGGAGGGCTCGGCTGCCGGCGAACGGACACTCACCGCCGTCGTCGGGGGTTCCCCAGCACGTCCTGGCCACAGCGAGCACGGAGGGGATCACGTATGGTCTCAGTCACTGTGGCACCTCGCCGACATTGCGACCTCCCCCTACGTGATCATCTGGTGCGACGCCGAGGTCACGATGGAGGCTGCCGTCGCCGTCACCGACAAAACCACGGGGCCCGCAGCGTCGTCAGAGGGGGGCTCACGAATGGAGGCTTGGACGCCTTCGCGGAGTCAGCACGGCGGCCTGAGCGCTCAGACTCGTCCGCGCGGCGTGAGAGATCTTTCTTTGTGTTGGGTGGTGAGCCAGTGTCCAGCCGATCTTGTGTTGACTGCAGGGGCGCTGTAATTAGGGCCTGCCTCAGTTCGGTGGACCCGAAGCCGCGCTTGTGGCTGGTGCGGCCCAACTCCTCGGTGGCGAGGTGACCCGCGTGATCGCAAGCGGCAGAGGCACGATTGGACCCCGCAGCCTCGAGGCCTGCGGCGCAGGCGACGCGCCGCGCGAAGTTGGAAGCCTGAGTCGGGCGGGTGGTAAGGGGGAGGGAACCGATTTGGGCCACCCCCCGTTAGCACCCGCCCGACTGAGGCAAGCCGCCTGCTTAGCATTCTGCCCCTCTTGGGCGGCGCAGCGGGGGAGGGCGGGTGCGGCGGCCTGCCGGGGTGGCCGCGAGGGGGGAACCGGGGGCGGTGCGGCACCGCCGCCTGGTCTGGCCAGGGCAGAAGCCGGGGGGCCGCTTCCGCGGCGCAGGGACATGGGGTCCATTCAATTGAGACGAGGGCGAACAAAAACAAAGGGGATGGGTAGAGAGAGAGAGAGAGAGAAGCAGCACAAGAGAGGAAACGGTAGAGACGGAGAGAGACAGGGAACGAGAGAGGGAGGGAGAGCGAGAGCGAGAGTGAGAGAGAGAGAGAGAGCGCGAGAGTGAGAGCGAGAGAGCGCGCGCAGCAGTTCGGACGTGGTGTTCGTCCGCTTGGTACAAGCGCCTCCTGCCCGCACCTCTTTGGCGGGAGGGGCCGCATGTAGACGACGGGGGAGCGGTTCCTCCCCGGCGCCGTCAGACAAGACTACGATTGGGAAGCAACGAGGGGCGTGGCGAGTCGGGGGGGACACTCCCGATCTGCGCGCCCGTGGCCGAGGAATGCCCATGTGTATAGCACGTTTTGGCATGCGTGCCGCCAGGTTCCGACGCTTCGCCCTCTGAGCTGTCGCCAAAACCTGCTCCGACGCCAGTTGCCATGCTTGTGTTTTGTGTGTCTTCCACTCCCTCGTCATTCAGGAGGGGAAAAACACAGACACAATTATTCGTCGATTCCCCAGAAAATATGGGAAAATATGGGAAGTCGGGGGGAAGACAGAACCCCAGAAAATATGGGAAAATATGGGGAATCCTGTTATTTGTATGTGTTAATGTGTGTGTGTCCCAGGGCCCCTTCAGTCATGCTTTCTGCATCCCTGCTCCGACGCCTGGTCCGGACGGACCAGAAGCGATCCATCGGGTGTCTGGTACCATGTCGGCACACCCCCAGGTCTGAGCTGGCCACAGATTTGCCGCAATGTGGAGGCAATGCTGCGGTGTGTCCTGAGGCGGGCAGCCCCTGCGTGTAAGTTCTCACCCACTTGCGCGCTTCGGGCCTTCTGGCTGTCCAAGCTGTATAGCTTCAAGTCGGACGCGTCCCTCGACAGGAGGAATATTCAGTATGTGGACGATGTTTCTGCTTTTTTGGGCTAGTGTGGAACATGTTTGGGTTTTTTTGTTTTTCGCCCAAACTCCGCCTGTAGGAGGACACGCCCGACCTAAGTATAGCTGTATATGCTTCGTTGCAGCAGGAGTCCTCTGAGGGGGAAGGACCCTGGCCCAGTGGCTGGAGGCGATCCGGGGGGACGCTGTGCATTAGGTGGAGCTGGCCAGCGCAGCGGCCAGGGGCGACGGCACCACCGCCATGGCGGTCCGCGACCCCTTACTAGGGCGAAGTCGAGCCTGTCCCTCTACAGGAGGCATATTCCGAAATAGTAAAAAATAGTCTGTGGGCTACTTTAAAACTTTTTGGGGGCATGTTTTGAATCTGTGCTGCGATTTGTTTATTCTTCGTCCAAACTCTCCCTGTAGGAGGACAGGCCCGACCTAATACTAGGGGAACGCACTTACATCGCCCCCACGAAGTCAGCGCCGGGTGGCCCGTGCGGGGCGGGTCCTACAACCCCTGGGAGGGGGGGGGCCAGGCACCGCAGGGGCGGCGGCGTGCTCCCGGCGGCCAGAGGGGCGGGAGTAGGGGGCCACGTGCGAGCCCTACCCCTACCCCCCACGATTTTTGAGGGGGAGGGTGGGGTTCGAACGAAGTGAACCCAGAGGAGGAGGAGGAGGAGGAGGAGGAGGAGGAGGAGGAGGAGAAGGAGGGACAGGAGGGGAGGAAGGAGCAAGGAGGATGTGGATTGTGATGGAGGGCGAGGAGGAAGGTTCAGAGGGCTGGCCTCCCCCGCTTCTGCCCCTCCTGCCTCTTTTTGCCTCCTCGCCCTGCTTGGTGCCTCCTCCTCCCCCTCAAGAATCGTGGGGGGTAGGGGTAGGGTTCGCATGTGGCCCCCTAGGGAGGCCCGGCGGCAAGGGGAGCGGCCGGTGTGGAAGGAGGCCCGGTGGCCGCGTGGCAGGGAGGGCTGCTGGCCGACGGCTCAGTGGCCTCGCTGTGGTGCACGGGGCCGTCGGGACCCGTGGGGCCTTCGCCGCTCTGGTGGTTCGCGTCGTGCGAGTCGGCTTCACCAGGGGGGGCGGGTTGCCCATGAAGCGGGGCATGAGGAGCAGGGGTGGACCTAAGCGGTGTTTTGGCGATTTCTTGGGCCGTTTGCGTTTCGACCTCGTCTTGCGGTAGAGGTGGATCGGAGACAACACGAGGGAAAACGAAAGCAAAACGAACACGAAAAGCGCCGTTCAGGTTCAGCCCTGATGAGGAGCGCTCGTTTCCTCGTCACTGTCGCCGTCAAGGGCGCCCCCGAACCCGAGCGGGTCAGCGTCGTCGCCGTCGAGGCCGCCAGGGAAGCGGTGCCAGAGGTCGTCGAGGTCGTCGAAGGCGTCGGGCCGCCGTGAGTGCCAGGGGGTCCAGTGGGGCCGGCCCCCTGTGGGCCTGGCGCTGCCGTCCCTGAGATGAAAGGTTGGCCTGCATGCGGTGGAGTTCGCCAGGGGAACAAAAAGTGGCATGAGCATAAAAACTCGGAGGTCCGCGCGGATTTCTCGGATCGGCGCTGGACCCCCCTCCCTGGCGCGCGGAGCGCGGCAGGGGAGGCGCCGGAGGCGCCGACAGGGGGGTCCAGCGCCGATCCGAGAAATCCGCGCGGACCTCCGAGTTTTTATGTTCATGCCACTTTTAGTTCCCCTATTCGCTCCTCGTATACCCAGGGTAAGGTGCGGTGGCGGCGGTCGTAAACGGCGACTGTCGCACCGTGGAACGCAGCCGCGAATTTGCGGCGCCATGCGGCAGCCTCGGCGACATCTCGCGGAAGGTGATGGAGGCGTGCTCCTTCCGTGGCCAGTTTGTCGTCGTGTCGATTGAAGGCCTCAGCCGTGGGCGATATGAGGCCGTCGTATATCATTTGTTCGACGAGATGACTTTCAACCTTTTCGACCCTAGACAGATCTGGTTTAGCCTGGACAACGCGGCGGACGCTCCGCCAGAGGTCGGCCAGGGAGCTTGTAATTGGGGGAGGATGGCCAGCCAGGAGGGCTTCGAATCCTTCGGCGACAATTCGGCTGTCGGCAAATATGTGCGCAGCGCGATCGGCCGTGGCGACCAGGTGGAGGAGGTCAAGGGTCTGAGCACGCTGGGCTGATTGGACGAGGCCATGAAACCTGGCCGAGTAGTTTAGGAGGTGGTGCGGGCCGTGCTAGACGCCGTGCCCAGCCCGAGCCACGAGGGAATGAGCTTGGTGCGAGCGAGAGAATGGAAGAGAGCGAGAGAGAGAGAGAGAGTCATACCGACAGACAGACAGACAGACAGACAGACAGACAGACAGACAGACAGACAGACAGGCAGGCAGGCAGGCAGGCAGAAAGCCAGACAGACAGACAGACACACAGACACACAGACACACAGGCAGACAGACACGCAGACAGACAGACAGGCATAAAGAGAAAGGGAGAGAGAGAGAGAGAGAGAGAGCGAGAAGCAGAGAAAGAGAGAGAGAGAGAAAGATAACCGCAGGAAGCATTGGACCATCGCCCTCGTGTTCTCCCTGTGCGTAGTTGCTGCTGGGTTGGCCATACAGAACATGCTTATTGGTGTGCTTTGCGAGGTCCCAGCCGCCGATCTGCCGCCGGGAATCATCATCCCCTCGACGGGGGGGAGGAGGAGGAGGAGGAGGAGGACGAGGAGGACGAGGAGGAGGAAGAGGAGGAGGAGGAGGAGGAGGAGAAGGAGGAGGAAGAGGAGTGGGAGGGGAGGAGGAGGAGGAGGAGGAGGAGGAGGAGGAGGAGGAGGAGGAGGGGAAGGCGTCGGGGCATCAGGAGCAGGGTAAGGGCGAGTCCAATGGTGACAACAATGATGACCGTCATGGGCACGATGACCCTGACAATGTCGATGATGGCGACGACCACGGCAACGACCATGACGACGATGGACAATGAAGATGGCGATGACGACGATGATAAACCAAAGGCGCTTCTCTGAACACTCCGTGGCCTGCCTGCGTAGCTGCCTCGCGCGGGGAGAAGCCGACGCTGCCCAGCTCCGCGCGCGGCGGAAGGACCTGCGCTGCGCACCGGGGCCCAGCCGCACGTACTGGTGCAGGACGGCGGCGCGATGGGGCCTGCCCCGGGCGGAGCGGCTCCGCTTGCGGGCCGCCCCCCTGCAGCGGCGGCCGCACCGCCAAGGAGGCGTCCCCTGCCGGCGCCTGCCGTCAGGAGGAGGGCGACCTTCCGCCGCCGCGGGCCGCCAGGAGGTCCGCTCGCGCGGCGGCTGCAGCGCGGGCAGCCCGCGAGGTCGCCCCCGGCCAGCTGACGGCGCCCTCGCACCGATGCCGGAGGCACCGCCGCTCCGGCGGCAGGGGCCGGCTGGTCGGCCAGCGAGCGGGCGGCGCCGCGTGCCCGCTTCGCGGGGGGCGCCGCCGGCTCTTCTTGCGGGGCGCCGGCCTGCCGGCGGTGGCTGCCGCCTGGCAGGATTTTCCTCGAGGCTTCCCCGCCAAGACTGAGCGCCCAGGACTCGCCGATTCTTCCGCCCAGCCGACAGCGACCATTTTGGTATGAGCAGAAGTTGTTCAGGCTAGTAAGAATCAGCGTCGCGGCCGTATCCTGCGGCCCCCTCCCGCCCCTTCCTCCTCCTCCGCCTCCTCCTCCTCCTCGTTGTTCCTCCCTCCTCCGAGTGGGATGTCTACACGCGCCCAGTCCTCGGTGCCTTCGTTATGCCAGGGAGGCAGAGTGAATGAAGGAATTATGAATCGGTCAGCGTTCACAGTTTCAGCCGTAGAACTTCCGTCGCCTGCGGCGGGACCGCACCCTTGCCCCCCCCTCTGCGTCCTCCAAGACCTCCCCCCTCGCCGCACATCCTTTCCAAGTTTGAGCGACAGAATCATGATACTGATGGGTGCGGCTCCCAGAATGACCCCGGAGTTGTCCCTTGGTCCGTGGGCTCCTCTGTGCTGTAAGTTCTCTGTCTCGATGTTGGTCCCGAGTCGGTTCCCACCTGCTAGTCGCCAGCTGCGCTAGCAGTCCCACATGGTTGTCGCATTCGAGCACTTTGGCCGCAGGGATGTGTCTGTGCTGCATGCTATGGAGTGCGTGAGCCCCCCTCAAGGGCAAAGCTCCGCACCCTCCGCGCTCGAGGAGCTTGTGCATCGCTTGACTTTGCAATGACGCACTAACTGACACGTGCTCCTGATGAGACCGCCGCCGCCCTCCTCCTTCTCCTCCTCCTCCTCCTCCTTTTCACTCGTCTCCGTCCCCTTCCCCCTCGCCCATTCGCGGGATCTCGCCGCCTCCGTATCAGTTGATGCTGACTTGCGATTCATGGGGCCTATGACGCGCTTGGTCTCCTAAGCAATGGCGGAAAAGCCAGGTCGCCAAATGGGGTGCGGTTGCTCTCCCCCCCGCTGCGTTCACGCACGTTCCGATTGGCATTTCGGCTTCGCGCGGACAGGGCTGCAGAGAGGAATGAGACCGGCCGCTCTCCACAGCCACGGCCCCGCCGAGTGCTTTCCTGTGGTGTCCTGGCGTCCGTGGGGGAGGGAGGAGGGAGGAGGGAGGGAGGAGGAGGGAGGAGGAGGGAGGAGGAGGGAGGAGGAGGGAGGAGGAGGGAGGAGGGAGGAGGGAGGGCGTGCCTGGCGGATGCGGTAGTTCGCGTGTCGGATGCCTCGGTCGGTGGCCCCCCGCCGAAAGCCATCCGGAGGACGGGCTGGCATTCGCCCCCCTGCGGCAGCAGTGTGAGCACAGGCGCTCCGACGTCGCGTCCGTGCTCGGGGTGGTCGCCCCGCCTCGCCTCGCCCTCCTTCCCTTCCCCTGCCCTCCTCTCTTCTTCTCCTCCTCTCCTTCTCCTCCTCCTCCTCCTCCTCCTCGTCCTCGTCCTCGTCCTCGTCCTCCTCCTCCTCCTCTCCTCCTCCTCCCTCCTCCTCCCTCCTCCTCCTCCTCCCCCCTCCCCCCTCCCCTCCTCCTCTCCTCCTCCTCCTCCCTCCTCTCCTCCTCCTCCTCCTCCTCCTCCTCCTCCTCCTCCTCTCCCCCTCCTCCCCCTCCTCCCCCTCCCCCACATGTCGCTGTCGTGCTCATGCAATTTCTTGTCAGGTTTCCATTTGCCCTTTTAGGAATTTACATCTTCGAGACGGCCCTGGACGCGCACTACTCCCGACCACCTGTCCCACTCGCCCGATCCTCTAGGCGAGGGCCGTCTTTAGGCTTCGTCTTTAGGCTTTGCTTGTAGGGGTCGTCAATAAAGTTGGCCTTACACCACCCGCAGCTTCCATCATAGGGACTGCGTGGGTTCCACATCCCACCTATCATTACAGTCAACGCGCCTAGTAAGGACGCGCGCCTTCATCTATGGTACCGTTGTGCCCTTGCCTCTGCGGCCCGTCCTTTGCCATTTTCATGCGTCGCCCCCCCGCCCAACAAATCCCCGGCCTCGAAGGGTCTTGCGTCCTTGCAGCCAGTCCTTCTTACACGTTTTGACAGTACCTTGACGGCGTCAATTGCCATCCACACAGTGTTCGTCCTTCCTCATCTTTCCGTCCACTCAGCGACGAGCACCCCGACAGCCGACTCGACTCCAACATCTAGGACTGGACCTCGCTCTTCATCCACCCTTCACGCATGTGGGTTTGTCATTTGTTTCTTCGTTCCTCGCGCACAGTCACTCCTCGCTCCTATTCTTCTTCATCGGCAGCTCAAACTCTCCGATCGCTGGCCTTCGCTTGCGAGAGTGTTTCTTCAGGTGCCATGCTGATATATACTTGTCTATAGCGTACGGGGCGGAAGCGTGGGCCACCTCGCTCACCCGGTTCCAGCGTATAGGATGCGGAGTGAGGCGGAGGTTTTTTTCCGCGCCGAAAGCAAGATTGGCGTGGCCATGGAAGCGCACAATAGGCGACGCAGACGCCTGGCACTGAAATTGCACCAGCAGGTAAGCATCCGGACAATCGAGGCGCAGGCGTTGTTTCTTGAGCACCGCTTCGCAGGCCACGATTACCATCGCACCGACGCGCTGGAGTGTCTATTACCATATATATATATATATATATATATATGTATGGGATGAATGTAGCGGTGCCGCCTCCCTCTTGCTGCGATGCACGAGGCGTGATCGCTGAAATGATCCAATGCGGAGGCGAGTTTGCAAGAGAGGTTGTTCTTGTTGCTGCAGCTGTTTAATCCACCTGTGTCGCAAAACATATTTCCGCCAAAACTATGGTAGTGTGTGCGCTGGAATGATGAGTTCGAATTTTTGCGTCTCGTATCCAAGCCTGAGCTCACACCGCTGGCCTTCGCAACGGCCTGGGCTCAAGCATCGAAGGCAGTGGTTTCTCGCTCGACGGCAGTCACGCCATCCCAGGCTGCACTCTTCGCCTGGATCGCTGTGATTGCCCCCTCGGTTTCCGGCTGGCAGGCCGGGTCCGCGGCGGTGCGGGCGGCGCCATTGTTCCTTGGCCCTGTGGCGCCCGCGGGATTGTCACGGTGCCAACATCGCAAAGCGGATCTCGTTCGGGAAACAATGGGATGGGCCCGGAGTGTCCTGGAGAATTTCGCTCCGGATTTCGAAGTGAGTTTCGTGCAGTTTGTTTGGGTCTGGAATGAAGAGCACAACAAATCCACATGAAATTCACTTTGTTTTTCGCTCGCCGTTTCGGGGTTTTGCATTGACAGAAATCCACGCGCGAATCCGCTACAACACGTCTGCAAGGTCGGTGCAGCGAGGAACGGAGCCTGGAACCGCCGCCGATGGAGTGCTTTTGCGAGTGCGCGTGCCTCGCTCCCCGAGGCTCGCCGAGCGCCGCCCCCGCCGTCGGCGCCGACCCTTGTGCCCGCGGCGTTCGAGGCGGCCGCGCCTCCGCCCCTTGGGTGGGAAGGCGCTTCGGGCCTGGCTGTGCCAGGCCAGGCCAGTGCCGCATTCTGCGTGATTCTCTGCGTTTCCGAGAGCTTGATGCTGATCAATGGCTGCAGCCGCCGGCTGCCGTCCGAGGACCGCTCGCCGCGGGCGATCGTGGATGGACTGCGACTGGCTGCCAGGGACGCAGCTGCTCGTGTCCTTTGCGGCTGAGCTTGGGTTTCGGCACGATCACATCGTGATCTGGCCTTGTCACGCTGGCTCGTGGATCGCGCACGCGGCGGGGGGCGACTTGTGCGCGGAGACCGGGCAGCCGCCGAAGTCGCTCCCAGACGACGGGGCCAACGCCACGGCGTTCGAGCAAACGCCGCCAGACGTCGAGCTCAAGGGGCCCATCGCGGAGGCCAAGGCCGAGGTGGACTCGGTCCGCTCTGCTGACCTGTCGCGCGCCTCGCCGTGCGATCCGACGCATGTCGAGTCTGAGGACGGCCGCCATTGTCCGTTCGTTCGGCACCAGGCGCAGGGCAAGCAGCCGCGGCACGGGACGTCTGGCGCGGCAGCGGCCGCCTTCGGCGCAGGACCCCAGCGGTCGGCGCCGGCGGCAGCGACGCGGAGGGCGACGACGGCGGCGTTCGCCCTGCTCCACTCCCCACGCCACCTGGCGCGCTGGACGGGTCGCCCGGCCCGGGCGCGGGCGCGCTCGCCGCGGGCAGTAGGCGGCGCCGTTGGGTGGTGAGCGAGCCGGCCCCAGCACCCTAGCGTGGAGTT